ATTAAGTTATGTTTATTATCTTGCATAGTCAAGATTCTAATGATGTTTTTTTACCCAAACGTCACTATAAAAAGAACTAATATTTAAAGTGAAAGATCAGGTGATATGTACTCGGGAACAAGTTCCCTCAGATTATCAATTTATCAGTTTCAGAGAGTCCGATATGTTTAGTGGGTCGCTCCCTTGAGTTGTCGGATTGGCGCCTTTGAGTACATATCACGGGCCCACAGTTAAAATTAGCCACAAAGAGTTTCACAGAAAGTTTATGAGATCCCTTTCAGAAAGTTTTACAGAGGTGATATGAGAAAGAAAATTTGAGATCCCTCCAGTAGTTTTGAGAAGTTATTTTTAGAAAATATTTTTTGAGATCTCTCTGAGAATTTATTCGAGAAGTTATCTGTTAGTTGTTTGTTTAGTGCATGCTTATAGCCTAAATTTATCTATTGATAAATTGACATAGACTTCTAAATATTTTTTGTTGATCCATACTGACTTACTAAGCGTAAAGCTTATCAGTTTTTTCTTCTTCGCATGTACAGATACTAAAGGTAAGGGCAAGGCCTAGGAAGATGATGAGAGAGTGGAACGCGTGCCAAGATGAGTTAACGGGAACGACCTTGGCGGCTTGTAGCTAGATATTATTTTATTCCATTATTTCAGTTGTTAGAATAAAAAGATTATTATTACTTTATTTTATTAAAGGATTGAAGTTTGAATAAATTCCTGTATCCAGGTGGTTATCACATTTGCTGGTGATAACTAGATTTTATTGAGTTTTTATTTGGGTTATATTTTAGTTATATTTGAGATTTTATCAGGGTTATTTCTTAAACAAACGATCGTTATATTGTAGTTTATTTTTAAAAGTAATATGCTAGTGTAACGTTTCCTTTAACCTTGAGAAGGGCGTTACATATATAATCACGTACTATTCCTTCCATCAACTTAACATTTTAATTTCAAACCCGATTTTAGAGTGTGTTTGCAAAAACTCAAACAGATACTACGTATTTTTCATCTATTAGCTTAAAAAGTTAAATAAACACATAGGGAAACAGTCACTTAAAAACTTAAAAGTGACAATTTTTACTTAAAATAAACACCTAAAAACAAAAAGCTAGAAGTATGTGAGTGGGCGTTTCAAATTATTTTCACTTTTTTTATTACACACACAGGGGTATTTCTCTTTTCTGAGATCAAATCATCCGGAAACAATCTTTCTATAGGTGAGAGCCTTTACGACACTCCGGTAACGATGAAGAAGACATACACTAATACACATAGCTTAGCTGCACTAAACCTTATTTACTATAGGTCCAAAAGGCTATAGCTATACCCGGCACTAAACCTTTTTACTGTTTCCATACACAGTAACACAACCACCTCCAAGGCTATAGCTAAAAGTAATAACTTTTCAAAAGTTAAAACAAAAGAAGCTAAATGTAATAAAGTATACAGTGCGCCAATTAATTCTAAATGAAAGTTTTGTCATGGATTTCGAGATCTAAAATTCTAAATTGTGATAAAATTGACTTCCGTGTATCAATATAGTAGTTTGAATTAAAATTTACATTAAAAATATACTCCCGTGAATACGAAAAGTTAAATTTGAACGTCAAAATAATTAATACATAAACATAGAGATTAAACCTAGAGATGTTTTAAGTTTTAACAAATGAATAGTAAAAAGACCATCATAAAGAAGAGTGAGGGGTTGTTTACTTTTTTTTTCATTAAGTCCTGAATGGATTAAGACGTCTGTTTAAATTAAGACGTCTGCCTGAATTAAGTGACACTGAGATAACAAGCTGTTTACTACCTGTGCTGAATGAGAAGTCTGAATTATGTTAAATGACCAAATAATCCTTCTGTCTAGAACAAGTTAAAACGTATATTATCTGTTTAAATTACTCGTTCTGAAATATGGAGTATAATTTCAAACCAAAAGTTTTGAGGAGACCCCAAACACATTTTCTGGAGTTGGTTCCCGTTCGTGAATGAACAGTACCCGTCACCCCTGAACCTGAGCATCGAACACGGTTGGAGGATGAACTGGAAGCCTGGATTTCAATTAAACAAAGTATTCTCACTTAAGAACAAGGTCAATTAGTTCATCTTAGGAAGATAAACAACAATCAAACCTTAAAATCCAGAAACAACCTTAAATCAACTCTTTTTACAGAAATCGATTTTGAGATGAACAGGAAAAGTCCAAACTTCCTGTTCGATTTTGAGTTTTTGGCCGTAATTCATGGTTCCAATTTCAAATCCAACCTCAGAATTGAACTTAGGGGTGAAAATCGACCAAGAAACAGCAAGAATCTGGAGTGAAGGGGTGGACAAGAAGACAATGGTCTGCGTTGAAATCAGGTGCGGATAAGCCAGAGTAAGAGGGAAACTCCGATAAATAACTCCGACAAATGGATGTCTTATGGTAAGGACAACTACTAACGAGCTGAATGAATAAGTCAATAAAGATCTGAGCGAATAAGTCACATTTTATATTAAGTCCTAGGTAAACAAGAATATATAGCTGAGCGAATAAGTCACATTTTCTATTAAGCCCATTAAGTCGAAAGTAAACAGGCCCTGACATTCATGTAGGCGCGAGTATAAAGTTGTAAACATTTTTATCAACACCAATTACCAAAAACGTTTTTTTTTACCTGAAAAGCAAGACTAGCTTACTGTCCAGGGATGAGCAAGGGGAAATAATAGTCCATTTAGAACCTATAAGAATGTTTTTACTTATTCCTATTATGGGGGTGTTTGGAACTAATTCCGATTCTGCTTCTTTTTTCAAGCAGAAGTAGAATCAGAATCAGTTTTCAAAAGCTGGTCACCCCCAGCTTCTAAAAAAACTGATTCTAAGAGTAAATTAGAACACCAAAAAGCTGGTCACCCAAACACCCCAACTTCTGCTTCTGCTCCCTGAAGGAGCAGAAGCAGTTTTAAGAATCAGATCCAAACACCCCCTATATCTTCCATTTCACTTTGGCACATAATTTAAGAAAAATGGGTATTGTGTGGTGGAGAGTTGTGGAGAGAAGAGAGAAATGTGTAAGAAATGTTGTGAACCACAAATTATTTACATATTTCAAACACATTGAAGTCAATAACATAAAAAACAGCGAAATAATATCAATGGTCTTTAAATAAACTTGACATTCACGGACACTTGCATTACCTGGTATGGTCTGCAAAAAAAAATACTCCATAAAAACTTAATACATTTAATGATTTATCACCATGATTAAAACTTATCAAACAAGGATTTGAGCACATTAGCGATTTCAAATGAACTTTTGAATTGTTCGATACTCATTTTATAATTATGTATACTCATTTGGTACTCACATCATTCTCATTTTAAAATGCCATATAATTCATAATTCAAAAGTATCATGATCCTCAATATTATACTCCTAATACTCAACAGAATAAGTGTAATGCTCAGTAAAAGTTCATGAATGCTCATTTGACATAAACCATGATTTTCATCTCAATAAAAAAGGTTTGATGCTTGATGAAAATATCGTGACTTCAACTAAGAAATTTTACGATTTTCATATTAATGCACATTTTGTAAGTTACATATGCTCATTTGGTACTGATGTTATGCTCATTTGTAAAATGACATATGAATGCATATTTTAAAAGTATCATATCACATTAAATTCGCATATTAAAATTCATAGGAATTATTTATACGTATATTTTAATAAATTTTATTAAAGAAAAAAATGAATTAGAAGATATGAAGTGGAGATGGTGATGTTCATCGTTATGCTCCTAATACTCAATAAAATATATCTGATGCTCACTTAAAGTACACTATTGCTCATTTAGCGAAAGCCGCAATTTTTCTCTTTTTACGAAAATGCCACCACCTCAAAAAATGGACCTTTTGGTTATGGATTGTGTTAGTTGATGGGCCTGCTTTTTCCTGAATTGGACCAGATGTACAGTGGTGCCAGTACAGCCGGATGTACGATATAGGCACTACTCCAAACAAGTGCCACAACGAGGAGAAGAAAATAAAAATGAGAGAGTGAACCACAGAAGCAGACCACAGAAGTGGGCCTCTTTGGTAATGTCTAAATTGTTTGCATATGTTGATAAAATGGTTTTTTGAATGAAAATCGTCTAGTTGGAAATTAATAATTTAAAGATTCTACAATCACAAACAATGTTGATATACATATTTTGTACGCACATTGTGTACACTTTCCCTAGTTGTCTTTCTACACAAGCAAATTGTTCAGAAGTTGCTTGTAGACAGACAACTAGAGGGATGTACACAATATGTGTACACCAAACAATATTCTTCTACAATAACCTAGTTTAGAAAAAACACATGTGAATCTTTTAATTTAAATAATGTTCCATAACATAATGCTCCATCTGTCCCTAAAAATTTGACATCTTTGAATTTTTATTCAATCATATTTAACTTTGACTAATTATACTCGGTATATGTTTGTAAAAAATTAATATAAACATTGTATGAAAATGTTCCTTTTTTAAAGTAATTTCATAAAAGTATAAAACTTATAACTTCCATAATATTATTCTAATCAAAATCATGATCAAAACTTTACGATCATGGGCATGAAATATCAAATATATCAAAGTTTAAGGGGTGGTAGTAATTAAATAACTAGTCATTATATAGTGAGCATCTGAAGTGTTTGTATAATGATTTGAGATTGAATCCTAAGGGGATTAAGAACATGTTTTCCATCATTGAATGTCGGATACATAAAATATTATTAATGTTAATTTTGATGATCTTGAAATACACATAACACATTGCACAATGATGAGCTCACACAATTATTTCCACTTATAAACGTTTGAAGAGTTTGGTGACTAACGTCCGTCTAATCCACTCAAATAACTTTGATGGTCTGTATACCAAGGATTTTCTTCACCTCAAATGGTATAGATTTGGTATATATGTGACTAAACATAATGAGTTCAAGAATGTAATTATGTTGTGGGGAGAAGTACGATTTCTATTATTATACCGATTTTTAAGGATCTTACATAATTTCTATAATTATTCGTCTAGGAACATACAAGCTCAAAACACATACGGAGTCTGAAATACATTGATTGTGTTTCAGCTATGAAAATTATAAACAATATTGTGAAACCGGTGGGCGTAGCTCAATTGGTATCATCCTAATTGTGTTTCAAACGAAGTACATCCTCGTACCTAAGTGATGAAGCTATCTCATATGTACTCCCTTGGAATTTATCCAAGGATACTTGGAAAAGTCGTGGATCCAGCCCATGGCAAAAGAGATGGAGGCAGCTTTCCCTAACAGCAGGCAGATTTCAACTCATTAGAACATTTTATTTACTGGGATTGAATTGAAGGTTTTGTGGAAAATAGTATCAACTTACATTAGTGCAGCATGAAAGTCTCTTTCATTATCTCATCACTTCTATCTTTTTGAATCTCTTTTCCATCACCACTGAAGTATCCAATCACAAATATATATCCTGCAGAAGCCATCATTTATTATATGCGCTACTATAGCGTTTCTTTTACGGATAATAAAGGATGAAACGAAATATTCACAAAGCAATGTACACTACACAAAAGACTAGATGAAAAGGATCAGTTCTTTCTCATCCGTGCAGGTTAGTATGTCTGACCTGAGTCACCTGGCTGATCACCTGGCCCGTCAATGGTCTGACATGTCCTTGAAGAAAATGAAGATCATAGGAGTATTTCATTAGGTGTTGGCATCCCCAAAATCCCAAATTAGGGAATGTAACAGAACAAATTCATTGTCTCCAATGTTCCTTCATTTACATAATTTACTGAAGAACTTCACGGCATGTCAATTTCATTTCAGCCCCAATATCAGCAAGCATAGAGTACAACACACTCTTTCTGTGGAAAGATTCATTGGATAAATCTTTGGCCTTCTCTATTCCTGCAGCAGCCATCATATTTCTAACATTCCCAACATCAATCCATCTCCCTTTTACAGCATATATATGAGTTAGCAGTAGATATGGTCCGATGTCATCTGGCTTCAATTTCATCAACTCCCTAGCCATGATAGCACCGAGCTCTGTATTTAAATGGGTCTCACAATCTGACAGTAAGGACCCCCAAAGTGTAGAACCCAACTCCGTGAGGGGAAGGATATCAGAATCATTCTTCAGTAAACGAGACCGTCCAAGGAGATCAACCATGCATCCAAAGTGATCATCTGTGGGTTCAATCATGTAGACTCTGAGCATCAAATTGAAGCACCACCAACCCTCTAATAACATCTTGGCATGAACACAAGCACTCAAAACACACACAAAAGTAGCACTATTTGGCATCATTCCACACTTTCCCATATCCAAAAACATTTCAAGGGCTTTCTCACCCTTCCCATGTATTCCATACCCCATTATCATAGAATTCCATGTCACAACACTCTTCTCTGGCATCTCATCAAAAACTTGCTTGGCCCGATCCACTGCCCCGCATTTTGAGTACATCGTTAAAACGGCAGTCGAGAGCAAAATATCAGGTTTTATTTTTCTCCTGTTTTTGTTGATATAGAAATGAATCCTTTCCCCTATGTCTAACCTCCCCATGTGTGCACAAGCAGTCAAGACACTCACTAAGGTGGCCTCATTTGGCTTAACTCCTCCTCCCATCATTATATCAAACAATCTCAAACACTCGTTGCAGTCCTTTATCCTCACATATAGTGCCATCATAGAATTCCATGAAACAACATCACGACAGCAACCCATCTGATCAAACAGTGATCGAGCAGAAATGACATCTCCTATTTGAGAATACCCAACAATCAAAGTATTCCAAGAAACAATGTCTCTGGAAGGCATGTTATCAAACAACTGCTTTGCAGTGCCCAGTTCCCCAATCCCAACATAACCTGAAATCATTATGTTCCAACTGAAAACATCTCTCTCAGGCATTGTATCAAACACCTGATGGGCAAACCCCACCTCCCCATTTTTAACATAGCCATCTATCATAGCGTTCCAAGTAACTAAATCTGATTCGAGGCTCATATCAAATACCTTCCTTGCATCTCCAACCCTCCTACACACCGCATACATATGAATCATGGTGTTTCTAATATACAAATCCAACTCGAACCCATGCTTCACTACATTGGCGTGAACCTTCTCACCTTCTCTTAGCGAACACATATCAGCACAGGCATTGATTAACACCGGGAATGTATATTTATTGGGAAATATCCCTTCTTTAACTATTTTATGAAAGTAAAATGCTAAAGCAGTTCTGGGCTCATCAAAACTCACATAACCTCTCATGATTGTATTGCACATGAAAGCATCAGGCTCTTCAATATAGCCAAAGAGCGTAGCAGCGTCAGGAAGTGTGGCTTTTGAAGAACATAGCTTTTTCACAAACTGGCCCAAGGGCATGGGGTGCTGAAAGATTCCAGAGACAATGAGCTGGGCATGAACTTGGTTTAACTGTTGAATTGTGGGTTCGATTTTGTCTAGCTTGAGCAAGATGGGATTGCTTCGCCACGACACGCACATTCCTTTGTCTTCTGGGTTGGAAATGGGGTCATTAGGCCAAAGCTTTGGAGTTGGTTTTGAAAGGTTTTTCTGAATTTGGATGAATTTTTGAATGTTGAGAGAATTTAAGTTAGCTCTAGCTTGAACATTCATGATTACAGATGACCAAGTTGAGAAGAATGACCGAACGACCATATGCACAGCATTTTGCAACTGTATAAAAAAAATTGCAATTTAATACGTAGACAGTGAAGTAGGCCCAAAAAATCAGCCCAATCAATTCATATATGCTTCATCAATAGTTTTTTACATCGTTTTTGTGTTTTTGTTTAATTATTAATTTATTACTCCTAAATTCCTAATATTAAATGATCAAAATCAGTAAACGAAATAAATAAATAATTATGTTATGTATTTATTTATTATTTATTAAATAACATATAAAATACTTGGGTAAATAAGTCAATTGTATGGAGTAATTAAAATGAAAGCACAACTTATTTTAATCTGTAGCTAGAAGTGTTAAACGTTGTAATCTGGAATCAGTGTGGCTAGAAGCTTGCTTCTGAAATGCAGTAAGAGATTATTTTTCAAATAAAAGCATATCCTAAGATCTAAAGAAGTATTTTATTGAGAAGGGTGCACAATAAGGTTATTTAGAAGTTAAAAATTAAAATAGGAAATCAAAATTTTCTGAACTAAATTCAGATATGCAAAAAGTTTCCATACACTAGTTACTTACTTCAGGAAAGGAAAATTTTCACCAATGCGTGTCAATATTATTTCAGAAAAAGGTTGAAAGGCAAATGTTTAGAAATGCTACAATTATGGACAAATAAGTTATTTTTAAAAAGGCGCACACACACACACACACACATATATATATATATACAACAACATCCAAGCCTTAATCCCAAAAGAATTTGGGGTCGGCTAACATGAATCGATCTATGATATCAAAAATGCCAAAAAGAGAAGATGGACAAGAAAGGGAAGAAAAAAAGTAAGAGAAAATGAATAAAATAAAGATAAACAAATATAAGATACCAATAACATAAGAATATAAAAAAGATAACGATAAAAAATAAAAGAGCATAAAAAAAGCTAGAAGATAAAAATAACATAAAAAAATAAAAAATATAAGGAAGATAAGCGATAAAAGAAAAAAAAGAGAGGAAAGGTAGAAAAGACATCAATCGTCCACACAGATGATTGATGTCTTTTCTACCTTTCCTCTCTCTCTTTTTTATACTTGGATTCATGTCATGTGATGTGACTAAGTGATACTGTTGGCCGTCACGCGCCTACCACAGCACCATCCTCCTTTATCCTGACTTGGGACGGGCATGATACCAAAAAAACGATCTCATGGCGGAGTTATATATATATATATTTGTATGTATATATATATATATATATATATATACATGTTCCTGTCCGGACAGGCCAGAGGAACCCCCTGTCCGGCCACCTCAATTTGAGGTGGTTCCGGGGTATTTTTGGCTGAAATTTTTGTGTATGTTCCTCATCAAGTCTAATTCATCCATACCAAATTTGAGCAAAAAATTCAATCGGGAAGGTCGTCAAATGATTTTTGCATGAAAACTGTGTTCTATATGTATATTCCGGACCAGTTTTCATGCAAAATTCATTTGACAACCTTCATGATTGAATTTTTTTCTGAAATTTGGTATGGATGAACTAGACTTGATGAGGAACATACACAAAAAATTCCAACCAAAAATACGACCGCGAACCACCTCAAATTGAGGTGGCCGGACGGAGGTCCTGTCCGGCCTGGCCGGACAGGAAACGCACTATATATATATATATATATATATATATATATATATATATATATATATATATATATATATATATATATATATATATATATATATACACACACACACACACACATACATAAAAGAAGGCTAAAAAGGGGGGAAATCAGATGAGTTTTCAGGATAACTCCCAGAAGAAAATAACACACAAGCACAGGCAGATCTAAATTTGGCATCCAGGGGGCCTAATTTTAATTAACTAACGCATATTGCAACAAAAGAAGCCATATGTCATATAATAATGTCTATTTCACAAAATTGATTTTCAGGTATAAAATACTCCCTCCGTCCCAAAAAATTCTTCCCAGTTTGACTTGACACGGATATTAAGAAAGTGGAATAAAGTGGAAATGTGTGGTTGTAATTGTGTAAGAAAAAGGTGAAATGAATGTGAACCACACAAATTGTCTAAAAATGGTAAGTGGGAAGAATTTTTTGGGACGGCCCAAAAAGGAAACTGGGAAGAACTTTATGGGACGGAGAGAGTAACATCCATTGCAACAACAACAAAATCAAAGACAAAAGGAAATATTTTAGGATTAGGAGTTTTAGTCAAAGTCAAAAAAAACCACAACTTTACAACTGTTCTCTAAGGGTTTTCACCCACTGATATCGTTTGATAATTATTAGTAACCAGAGTCGGTCCTGGAGCATGGGCAACGGGGCATGCGCCCTGAGCCCATTCTCCGCTAGGGCCCATATATATAACCAGTTATACATACATATTTATTTTAATTATATATCTATAAAAATTTAAAACAAATCACTTATAATTTTCTTATACTTTCAATTCATTATTCAAAAACATCTACAAGCTACAAGTTTAAAATTTTGAAATTAAACATCTACACTAGAATTCCTTGGAAACAAACTTCTCTATTTCTTTTGATTCATTAAGAGTTAGCGTATAAATGACTAAATGTTAATCTTTTTATATACTTCTCTTAGGTAAACTCATGATTCATTGATAGTATTTTGCTAACTTTCTTTGATTGAAATGAAAGAATTAAAAAATGTGATTTGAAATATGAAAATTTTACTTCATATAAGACATAACTTTCACATGTTTTCCTAATTCAAAATTATTTATGGCAAATACAAATTGTACTACTTTTCCATTAGGCCGGTTTAGTTACATAGTATTCTCGGATGTCACAAACCAAATATTTAAATATAATATTTCTAACCGTTTCATTATTAATTTCTTTGAGGTGTTATACTCATATTTATACAATAAAACTGTTCAATTTTACTTATAGTTTTTTTAATAAAAAAATATAAACACTCACAATCTCTAAGGCATACTCTATCTATAATGTACCGGGTCCATATAATGTCAGGACCGGGCCTGTTAGTAACTTAACTAATACTAAGTAACTAAATAGTAAATAATTATATTAATACTAACAGATCACAATCAAACTCATACTAATATAAATCATGCTTACAAATGACAAATTAGAACTAACTAATCACAAATCACATTCAAAATAAATTCATACGGAGTACTAAATATGAAAACTAGCAAGTGGCTCACTCAAATAATCAAATGACTCAAATTGACTACTGTTCACCCAAATAAGCAAAACGGCTAAAGAAACTTAGCAAAGTAGCAATTAGAAAACTTAGAAGAACAAAGAACAAACTTACAGGTGAAGCGGCCAGGCGACGAAGAGCAAAAATGGCTGGCTGAGCACTGGAGTCTGGAGCAGTCGAGCTCTGAAGAGATGAGAGGCGAGAATGAATGAGTGATAAGCGCCAAGCGGGCTGCCGACAACCTTGCCGCCGTGTGCTGACCGTGTGACGGGCGACGGACCACCGTCCACGGTTCACCGAGGCACCGACTCGCGAAGTCGCGAAGAAGTCGAGTGTGTAGGGGTTTGGTTTTTTTTTTGCCAAATAGCGATGCGTCGATGGATTACAGCCCTGCGTACTTTTATTTTTGGGCCATGTTTATTTTTGGGCTTGGCTGCTTGAAAGACGGAAGGGAAATATTCACAAATAACCTAAAATTGAAAATAATACGTAGTATCATTTTTTTTCACTTTTGAAAATTTTTTCAAAAATGGGCTTATTTGATAGTTTTCCCTTCAAAAATAGACGAGTAAAGTTTTCTTTTCATAAATAGACTTCCGTACATAGAGTTCCAGTCATGCGCATCTTGATTCCTTAAAAATGCAGTTAGGTTATTAAAAAGGAAAGTTTGCATTGATGTCACGTTAGTAAGCAAAAGTGTTATCTCCAACTTTATTCAACTCTTAAAAAATGTAAATTAAAAAATATTTTTTTATAAAAATAAAAATAAAAATGCATTAAAGGAGGAAAGTTTATAAATCGGATGATCTTTAAATATTAAAAGTATACATTATAAAAAATAAAATAACACGAAAGATTTTTCAAACAATTAAAAATATGAACATGGTTTATTTTTTTAAAAGAGTCAAAAAGTATAAAAAAATAACAAAAATATTTTTAAAAAGAAAATAAATAAAAATCATAATATTAAGAAAAGAATGAAGGAAAGCAAGCAATTCAAATAAAAAATATATGAATTATCAGAAAACTTCAAAAAAACTAAAAAAGTGTTAAACTAGTTTTGTTTTAACCCTTTCGAAAACAAAATTTTTAAACATTTAAGATAAAAAAATTAAAAATGTAAAAACAGTATATAAAAATTAAAAATGTAAAATCAAACAATGTAAAAACTTTAAAATAGTTAAAATGTGTGTAATTTTTTCAAAAAATCACAAAATAAGAGTTTGTAATGATTTTTTATAGTTAAATTAATTTATATAAACTATCAAAAATATTAAAAATTTTGAAAATTAAAAATTTAAAAAATCTTAAAAATTAAAAATTATTCAAAAACGCCAAACAAGATCAAAATATTTTGAAATTATTTAAAAAGAGAGAGAAACAATAAGAACGTTTTATGAAATAGTAGTTTTTTAAAAATTTGAAATATAAAGAAAGCAAAGATAACTAAAAAATCAATATATGAAATTTGAATACATTCATGAAATTCAAATTTAATTTTATATAATAAAACAAAAGCAGAAAATATGATTCATGATTTTTATAAAACCAGAAAACAAATGCAATCTTAAAGGTGTGTAAATATAGTCAAATCAAAAAATAAAATTTAAAACTTAAAATAAAGAACATGTACAAAACTTTAAAATTGAAAAATGGTTTTTAATTTAATTTTTTAAAAACAGTTAATATTTGTAAATATTACCATCATCATGTATTGCTTATTTTTGTTGCATATGGTTTCTTTGTGTTTCTTTTTGTTGATAACTTTAAATTTTTTATTGTTTCTTTGTGTTTCTTGTTGTTTTTTATATCCATAAGCACAAATTCAACATAAGTACGGAATTTTTTCCGAAAGAATGCAATAATGCATAGTTCTTTAACATAAGTTGATCCATCTGCTACTTTTGAGTCAAACTTGCTCACACATCAAGCAAACATATATCACGTAACTTTATTGAATAATGTGACCCATAAATTCCTAGTGCCCTCCCTCCTCAAACAATGTCACAATGTTATACCCATAAATATCATAGAATAATCCCTAGGATTAGCATTTTATACAAACCATCCAACGTGCTTGTATTTCCTTCTAGCCACCACATTAAGCATGCCTTCCTAACTTTGCAGCCAACTTATATCCATCCAAGAGCAACAGACTAAGTGCTACCATACACATCTAGCATTTGCACAAAGGTAAAAGATATGGTCCATAGTTGCATTGTCAGCATAACAGAAAGGGCAAACTGAAGAGAAGGAACTGTATAATCTAGCCAAAACTTCAGGTATGGGCAAACATCCAAACCTACAGAGCATAGAGAGACTTATATTATATGTACAAAGAAGTAACAAAGATGAGCAAATATCTAAAAACAATAATCAACAACACGACGCAACAAAAAGCTACATGTTGCAACAAAAAGCAACATGATGCAACAAAAATAATGCAACAAAAAGCAACACAAACTTTTTTCTTGAATCACCAAGCTGAATTTATACAAAAGTTGAGTAGAGAGTAGTAGTCAACAATGAACAACATGATGCAACAAAAAGAAACAAAAGACAACATGATGCAACAAAAAGCAACATATATGATACAACAAAAAGAAACAAAAAAACAACATTGATCTTCCAAGTCTTATTAAATTTATATAATCAACATTTATTATTTGTCTTCATTCAAAAGTGGATATCACAAATGAAGCTGATATAGAAAATAATACATGACTACTAGATTTAAAATCATAGCATAAATTAAAGCGAACTATAATAATTGAGATGAACAAATTTATTGATTTCGAATCAAGCACTTTCAGAACATAGATTATAATATGATACAACTTAGCAAATTCAGAGTTTTGAATTACAAGTTTACAAATCAACATATTAATGTGAGATCACCTTTACAAAATTAGGTTAGAAACCTGAATGTCAGAAATTAAGTGAGAGGTAGATGGCAGTCAAATTTAGGAGAATTGAAGGAATTACCTTTTGCTAGAACTCGTTCATCGACGACCAGGCTAGGAGCAGTGCGGCGAGCGGGGCTATGATTGTGATGATAAAAGAGATGACCGGCGAGTTAGCGTCATAGATTGGGAGGACTAGGACTGTGGCGAGTTAACGTCGATTCTTCACATAGCTGCATAGGGGAAGTCGAAAGATTTCATAGAGGCTAGCTAGAGCCGGAGGATTGAAGAAAAGAGAGAATGGTGGTCAAATGTATGAGAATGATAGCCGAGTGAGAGATTGGAAGAGAAGAGCAGGAGAGGAGGAGATTTTTTCGTTGGATCGAGAGTGCGATTGATACGGTGGGATTGGCATTTGGCAAAGTAGTCTAAAAGTGAAATAAAAAACAGAAATTGAAAATAGAAAAGTTAAAAATGAAAAGAAAAAAGAAGTTGGGTGAAAAATGATATGCTACCTCCTATAGTTGACCGTGTCGGTAATTTCCACAAGATGGAATACCGACGGACGGACTACAAATCTACAAGGCTAACTCTATTGGGTAATAGGTATATTGAGTTTTTTATGGGAATTTTTCATAAGTGAACCAAAGTGAAAATTATATCATTTTTTCGTTTTAAAGTTTTTTCGAAAATAGACTAAAGAAGAAACAAAATTTCATTCAAGAAAGAAAGCTATGGAGCAAGAAACATGGTATTCGATCAAGAAAGATAATAATTAGAGCAGGATATTCGACCAAGATTCAAGAAAAATCTAAAGTACAACACATACAGAACACATACATCAAGAAAGATACAAACTAGAATAGGGTATTCGATCCAGATTCAAGAAAGATCTGAAGTGCAACACATACTAAACACATACATCAACAAATATACAAACTAGAACATGGTATTCGATCAAAAAACATACACATTAGAAAACATTCAGAACACATACATCAAGATTATCAAATTAGCAGGAACATATACCAGGACTCCATATGAAGTATCGAGGGCGAGCTCCGGCCACATCAAGAAACTTGGGTTCACCCGCAGGAACAAGACTCTGCCAACTGTCTGGGTTTTGTTTCTGCGACAAATCAAGAAATGACAATGGAGTTTTGTTTGTGCGACAAATCAAGAAATGAGAATGGAGTTTTGTTTCTTCAACAAATCAAGAAATGAGAATGAGGTTTTTAATATGGTAACAGGTATGAATGATGTCGTATATACTTCCTTCATTCTTTAATTCTTGCAACATTGTGACTTTTGCACTATTCACAAACCTTACTTTGACCACAATTTTCTACTAATATACATAATCAAATTATTTCATATAGAATGTTATTGAATTCCTATCAATGTAAATTTCCAAAATATCAACTTTTTATAATGTTTGCTAATAAATAATTAAATATAATAACAGTCAAAGTTGTGCGTTGACAAACGTGAAAGTCAAAGTGTTGCAAGAATTAAAGAATGGAGGATAGTATATATATATATATATATATATATATATATATATATATATATAGAGAGAGAGAGAGAGAGAGAGAGAGAGTAGTGTTCCGGTCAAGCCTTCCTGACCGGAACCGCCGTACGGCCGACGGCGTTTGGGGCTTTTCCCGGTGGCTTTTTTTGATGAAATTATTATGACATGTTCTTCATCAAGTCTAGTTTATCCACACAAAACATCAGCTAAAAAATCAATCCGTAAGGTTATCAAATGATTTTTTGAAGTTAACTGTGCAAATAAATACATATTAAACGCAGTTAACTTCCAAAATTCATTTGATGATCTTCGGGATTGAGTTTTTAGCTGAATTGTTTTGTGGATAAACTAGACTTGATGAAGAACATGTCATAAAAATTTCATCAAAAACTCCAACAGGAAGAGCTCCAAAATCTGTCGTCCGGACGGCGATTCTGGTCCAGAATTCCGGACCTGAACATTTGTCTATATATATATATATATAGTATATAATATATATATACTATATTAGACGGCCTGTATATATATATATATATATATATATATATATATATATATATATATACAGGCCGTCTAATGAATTTGGAGGCCCCGGTTCCAAATGGAAAATTGAGGCCCCCTAAAACAACAAAATTACAAATTTGAACAATGAAATACATGTAGACTAGACAGCTCATTTCATTTTCATTTACCCCCGATGCCGCAAAGGCTCCCACCTACGGTGGGGTAGGAGGATCGGATGTACGCAGTCTTACCCTGCACTAAAGCACAAAGAGAATATTTCCGGATGACCCGTAGTGAAAATCCCGTCCAAAATTGCATGGACTGACGGCTGATTCATAACAAAGAAGCGCAGACAGTTTAGTGAGCCATTTTGCTCTATTCCATCATAATCTCAAGCTAAAAAATAATGATCCTTTGGCTCCATTGCAAA